TTTCTTTCTTCTGTTAATTGTGGTATTAGTGCTTTCCTCTTTTCTAAAATATCTTTAGAGTAGTCTTCTGTGAATGTTATTTCCTTCGACTTCTTCTTATTCCTTAATATCTCGTTTTTTTTCAATCCACTAACAAAGGATAAGAGTGTCGGCCTAGGTTTGTTACCTTTGATTTCTTTCCCTATACGATAAATCTTGTTTATTTCACAGTCTTGAATATTTATATTTAATGTTTTCAAAAATACTTCCTTAATATTTTTAAGCAGTTGCTCTGTAGTCTTTTCTCCCTCTTTCAGCCCGTGGACTATTATATTGTTGTTTTTTTTGTCTCTCTCTAAAGTTTCTATCTTTTTTTCCAAAAGCTCAACTTTAATTCTTAATTTTTTGTTTTCTTCTATCACAGGTTCTAATTTTTCACCAATTTTTTCCATAATAGTACTTGTTATAGAATCTGATTGGTTCTTCATTTCAGTTTTAATTTTTTCGAAGAATATTTCAAATTGTTCATCCATATTTGCGTGGAATGGAACGTATTATTTAAGGTTATTTTAGTTTATAGCCTTGGCAGCACTGAACTGACGTTGATAGTTGCGTACGAGGTGACTTTGACAGGCTCTCAGTAGTTTTACGTTAGTGTGTGTGCTTTCTGGTTATAATAATATTCTAACCTCCAAATACTGTTGGTTTGTTTTCGTCCGTGTTTTTGTCAAATCCAATAGTTGTGTGGCGGTGACTAATTTCAACACTTCGCGGCACCTTCGTACTCACATTTAATAGTAATTTTTAACGAACCTTGACTTGTATCTATTTATTTGTGCGATTATTTTCGGAGCGACAATACAATGACATGTATGATACGAGTACCGGAACCGGATGTCCAATTATAATAAGACAATGATAATTTAATATTAAAACAAAAATAAAACAAGACTACGCTATATTAAACATGAATAAAAGCAAAACCTTAACTGGCCCTCTTCACACTCATAAGCTAGACCGCGCGAGAGAGAGATGGGCAGACTTTTCATGATGCGCATGCAGTGCGACGTCACGCCACGCGCTTATTCACAAACACTACACAAGCGCAACGAATGTGTTGAACGCGAGCTACATGGTAGGCGGAGTGAGGGGTGTAAGGTTTTTTTCGTTACGGAATTTC